TAATAGATTAATGGGTTATTCATTGTCTGAGAGGGATTTCCTCCTTGTACGCCCCTTTTAAGAATCACATATTCGAGTCGACATTGTGAGATCCGCTCCGTGAACTGTGATCTACAATAATTCTATACAACCCACCACACCAAAGTTGGGGTGAACCCATCGTTCGTTTGACCCCTTCATCCATTCGGTATCAATTTTAACGGTTTTGAATTGAATAAACTTTTCACATGGCTCGATGTGAGGGTCAAACGTGACCGGATTCACCCCAAAGTCCTGGTGTTGTAGGATTTTATGAATATGGTAGACAAATTCCAACGGGAGCGGATCATCCATAATGTCGCTCAATCATGTTACTTAGAGCATCCAAGAGGCAAATCCTCCTCGCTATGAAGGAACCCATTAATTCTCTCTCGTCTCGCTCTCTCTCTCTCTCTGTATAAATATATATATATATATATGACTAATTTATATATATATTAGTATAATATAATATATGAATATTATTATACTATATAAATATATATATATATATTATTTATATAATACCTAATATATTATAAATGTATATATCATAGAGTTGTACCGAACATAAGTTTTCGTGCTTGGTACCAAGATTCCTACCATGCACAAAACTTGTGCTTGGTACCAAGTTCCTACATTTTTCTCATATATATGTGTGTGTGTGTATACACACGCATATATATGAGAAAAATGTAAGAACTTGGTACCAAGCACAAGTTTTATGATTGGTAATTTAGTAGTGAGGTGTCACTTTCCTATCCACTTTCTAACCGATGCGAATGTGATCCCCCACTTGAGAGTGGATGAGAATGAGTCATATCACTACTAAGTACAAAAAATTGTGATTAGTACAATGTGTGTGTGTGTGTGTGTATTTGTTAACTGATAAGTTATTGGAGAAATTGTGCTTCCAAGTAAAGCATATCTATTTGTTCTAAAGTTTGTAACAAAAAAACCACATTAACGAATGGTGTGTGTGTGTGTGTGTGTGTGTGTGTGTGTGTGTGTAGGGAGAGGTTCAAATAAAAACCTCACTATACTAAAAACTAAAAATCAATCATCTCCATTGGATCTAGATTCATCCAATGGCTGAGATTAAAGCTGCATAAGGGTAATAAGGTAAAATAAACAGCCCACTAAAAGAGAGGTAATTAATGCTTCTTGTTGAGTTCTCCATTTCCCCATGAAACTCTCTCTCTCTCTCCAAAATCACAGCAACTCTCTCTCTCTTTCGTCCAAAATCACAGCAAATCTCTCTCTGCCTTCAACATCTCCCTATCCACGGTCTTCTTCAACCTTCGTCTTCAACCTTCATCTTCAACCACTGTCTTCAACCTTTGTCGTTGTTAAATTATTTTGACGCTTTAATGGTAAGTTTATAAAATTTGTTTGATTTTTCGTCTAAAAGTTTAGTTTTAACCTTAAAGATCGTAGCTTTTTGTTGTAAAAGGTGAAATATTTTACCTTTTAGTCTGAAAAGTTTTTTGTTTTTTGAAGAAACCAGTTAAAAAACGAAGACACGCATAAGTGAATCTAGATTCACAGTAGTGAATCCAGATTCAGTATGTGAGGTGTTTGTTTTTTACCATAAAAATCGTATTTTTTTGCTGTAAAAGGTGAAATCTTTTCATAGTTTAAAATTTTATAGCTTGTTTTTTACCCTAAGTTTCTTATTCTTTTTGTTTAAAATTTTATAGCTTGTTTTTACCATAAGTTTCTTATTCTTCAATATAATCCAGATTCAATGGAGTGAATCCAGATTCACTGGAGCAATATAATCCAGATTCAATGGAGTGAATCCAGATTCACTCCAGCGAAAGCTTGGATGGTTAGGATGGTTTTTAATGAATTGTTGAAGAAATAAATGCATGTGCTGTAATTTCGAAGAAATAAACGCATGAGTGAATCTAGATTCACTACAGTGAAGTCAGATTCAGTTATGTGAGGTGTTTGTTTTTTACCATAAAAATCGTAACTTTTTGCTGTAAAATGTGAAATCTTATCATAGTTTAAAATTTTATAGCTTGTTTTTTACCATAAGTTTCTTATTCTTTTTGATTTTTATTTTTGCAGATTTGCTATTGTTTGATAACGAGTTTCAGTTCACTGAATCTGGATTCAATTCAGTGAATCTGGATTCACTCCAATGAATCGAGCTTCAATATAATCCAGATTCAATGGAGTGAATCCAGATTCAATGGAGTGAATCCAGATTCAATGGAGTGAATCCAGATTCACTCCAGCGAAAGCTTGGATGGTTAGGATCATTTTTAATGAATTGTTGTTGTGTTCTTCATGCGAAGATGGAAGATCAAAGCTTGATAGAAGATGGAAGTGAGTTACAGAGAGCAGGAAGTGAGTTAGAGAGAGAAATGGGGAAATGGAGAACTCAACAGAGAAGCATTAATTACCTCTCTTTAGTGGGCTGTTTATTTTACCTAATTACCCTTATGCAGCTTTAATCTCAGCCATTGGATGAATCTAGATCCAATGGAGAGGATTGGTTTTTAGTTTTTAGGATAGTGAGGTTTTTATTTGAACCTCTCCCTATATATATATATATATATTGTACATA